TTAGGTAAATATTTTAAATAATTTAACATTACTGTCGTGTCGTAAAAGTCTTATACATATCTATAGAGTTTTATTAAAAAAGTAACTTATTTGAACTATATATGTATTTATTGCCTACTTACCTGTCTGCTGGAGCACCGCCTTCAATGTTTAGGTGGCCATTACTAAGAAAAGCTTGACCAAACTGATCTGACGTCAGAGAGGGACGGATGAATAATAGCCCACTATGAGTAAAAGAGTTTGTGCGATTGTTGTTATAATATTGGAATTCCCAATTCTGTAAAGTAATATTCTATTGGTTATTAAATCTTTATTGTGACGTCCGTTGTTTTGTCCGGTAATCCGATCTCCTTGAACGAGAACTTATGTCTTGTAGTTTACTTAATTATTTATTTTATTAAGCTTATTTTATCTTAGGTATAAAAGCGGTCGTAGATGGTCTAGTTTTGAGGGAATTTCTGGTTGCAACTGTATAACTTTGAAGTTACCGTCTATCGCACAACGCAGTGCAATTTTGCTTAGTAAAGCTACGCGTCCCTTATGTAGAAATCATCTGTAAGTTTAGAACTTAGTGAAAACAATACCTAAAGTGCTACATACATTTCAATATCATTACAGTCACGCATACATTGTACAAATATTTTAATTTGGCGTGTTGAATACCGCAGTATTTTATTAATTAATATGCTATCAATATCAAGAAGATGCTACTACCCATCTCCTGTTCAGTTTCCTTTTGTCGCCTCTTCAGACACCCACGGGAAGATATGGGATAGTGGATTCTTTTACACCGCACTGCACCAATTTTGTAACAATAAAGAAATATATCGCATTGAATAGCTAATGGTGAGATCGTAGTAGGTACATAGTTTAGTGTTATGTTTAAACGAGAATGGTCGTGACAAAGAAGTCATCATCATCATCATCATAATAATGACAAACAATTTTAAGTTAAATCTCAAGAAGCTGCAATAAGTACATAATAGCTTCTTTGACTCAGTATGCGTTTTGAACATGATTCGGTTGTTTCTGCTATCCGTGCTTGGGTTGAAACCATTGCGAGATACATTTCTGATTATTACGTTGGTGGCATAACAAAGATAAAGTTGAAAATATATCAACCATACATTTTTTCTTAGCTTACAATAAGTTTTTATTTATCCTTCGAATGATCTCTTGAAATTTGTTATCAAATTCAACATTTGATTTTTATCTTGCAGTTCTCGTTATAGAAGCCGGTAAAATTGTATCCCCTCTACATATAAGAGTCATCTCCTTATATTACCTATTCCGTTTAATATTACCAACGTGGTTTATTGATGGTCTTGGATTTAAACTATGGTTTAAATGGTAGTAAGCTGTGGTTAAAATTTCAAAAGGAATTAACGTCCTTCACAACGAATTTCGATCACGGTAGCAGGAATCAACGGAGACTATCCATCTGTGCCGGACAGGATTATAGTGCAAAAGTGTGCGCGTAAGCACAGGTGCACTATATATTCGCTCACTCTATAGTTTGATGGGACGGTAATCCGTCACAACCTTTCGTGCTTTCCAAGGCACAGCGGTGACTTGAGAATTTCCCGACAGAAAAACACTAAACAAATGATTTTGGCCCGACCCGGGATTCGAACCTAAAACCTCATGCTCAGCAGTCGTGATTACGATCACTAGATCAACGAGGCAGTAATTTAAAAGAATTATTGTTTATTTAAACTATCATGTTATATTATAATTGTGTCACATGTGACTTGTAACAGTTCTAACGGGGTTTAATTTCATCTTTCTTTTTTTGAACACTGAGACTATAAATAAACCACGTTTTGTAATAATATCGTAGTTCTTAAATAAAGAAGAACGATGTCTTGAAGCTTTAGTATAGACAGTCCGAACAAAATTATAAAAAGAATTTCTTTCAGTACAAAATAACCCTTAAAATTTTGAGAAATAACTTAAATCAATTAAATAAAAAGTACGTACACCGCCACCTGCAAGGGTGTTTTCATGTTGCCATTTTTCGAGGTCGAACTCTTCGAAGTCATCGGCAAATATCATTGCCCCCGAGCACACAGTGACAGGAGCGTGTGTGCCGCTCACCGTTGTGACGCTGGGTGTGCATGCTTGGCTAAGCACCACTAGTGCCAGGACCCCCAGTAATGATGTCCACATTCTGTTGGAACAAAAGTAAAAATAATTTACGTTCACTGAATTACAAAATTTTACTTTTTTAAACTTTTTTTTGCTACAACTTTCAAATTCTGTTGAAATCTTCAATCGGGCTGTTGAAAGAGTGCCGAATTTAGCCTCAAGTCTGTATCTTTAAACACACGTAAATATGTACATATTTCCTGTTGCCATTTTGGAATAATTTATCAATCAAATAACAAAGGATTATAAACGCTATTTTAATAACACGGAACAAGACCGGTTTCTTATATAAGATTTTTATGATATGATGGTCTTATGTTCAAAGCTTTGCCAGCCTTTTAAAGTTGAGAAATTATTTTAAGATGAGTCAACTAACCTGGAAACCGATACAAATACATTTAGAATATTTTAAACGATAACATTTATTATATACTTTTCAGTGTTCGATAAGAAAAATAACTGATAAATAAGTAGGTAATAATTAATATTAACTTAATGCATAATTAATTACTTTTGTTCAAGATACTGGCGTAGTGATTTTTGATACATACTTTGATATAAAACAATGGTTTGATAATCTGTAGATATCAAATATAATATCTCCAATGTATTTTCACGATATGACCTAAGCCGAGTACCTTTATGTACGAGTAGGTACTTAAGCTTAAGGAATATCACAAGTTCAGGGTTAACAAATGGACTGTAGTTTTTATATAAGTAAATTATCAACTTCATTCTCTATTTTACCACCCTCAGAGATTTTTTTTTGTCTTTGAGTTTATATAGGAACACCAGTGGCGCAGCGTGGGTTTTCGCCGCCCGGGGCCGACGGAAAATTCACCCCCCTCTCCCCCATTTTCATTATTTCAATTTAAAGTTTAAATATTTTATTCAACGGAATTAATATACATCGTACAACTTATTGAAAGTCTATATAATAAACTACTACTGATTCGGAAGGAAATACATCTATGGGAAGATATGGCGCAAGAAACCCACAGGAAGTTTATTTTTTAAAATGTCAGATTGTTTACAAGGCATAACTTCACTAATTTAACACTAGGTACATACAAAAATAAATACCTAATAATAATAATAATAATAATAATAATGTACAGTTGGATTTTAATTTATACATAGTGCTCAACCCTTACTAACCTTTACAGGTAACTTAAAAAAGCATACTTAGTTATGTTTAAATAATACTAGTTTTCACGGATTTTATCGCGTATATTTAACTTTTTAAATACCCGACGTTTCACAGCACCCATGGTCACGGGGGTAATTGAGATGTTCAAGGTCCAGATGTCATAGTGAACCGCGGTTACCATAGATTAAAATTTAGCTTTTGTTTCGAATTCTGATCTACAACGTATGTTATGTGTGTACGGTTATGGGAAATATTCAAGACCTGGGATCACTCAGTTCGCCCACGTGCATCAGCAGTGACGTAGCGCGCTTGTAGATTTGCATATAGGCTTGTCGAATAAATATCGATATATCGATATTTTCAATTTGATATATCGATATTTTGGGCGATATATTTTGGTACGATATGTCGATATATCGATATCAAATATCCAATATCGAAATTGTATCAAAAACGATATTTTCTGCTTTTTAATTTGGTACTTAAGTTGGTTTTTAAGTTGGCAACTCTGTCTTTAAGTCAATGACACATGTGACATGTGTCAGTTCAGTTCAGTAATTTCATTCATTTGTGTATCTACTAGGCTATCCTCAGATCCCTTTGCCTTCTTGCTTCGTTAGGAACGAGAAAATTAACCAAAAAAAATTATTCAATTGTCATTGTCCGCCCGTTATCCGTAAAGACCGATTTACATTTCGACAAGCACAGTAGCGAGTTAAGTTACAGGGCAGTTGACAGTAAACGGTTAAGTGGGCAGCAGCGTTCAAACAATGTCTTCGTGGCGAGTTTAGTTAAGGACATTAGTTCATAGAGTTCGTTGGAGTATGACGTTTCAATATTACAGAATTTTTCTGGTTTTCGTTTAAGATGGTTCTAGGATTACGTCAAGTTTTAAATGATCCAGTCAGAGAAGTATTAATGGTTGTTAAAGAAGTTTTTAAGAATTTTCATGAGTGCAGCATCTCGAAGCAGGTTTAATTTTATAATTTGAACTTCTACTATTACATACATTCGTGTTCTATATACTCCTGTACAAATTTATACGTGATATCTTCCGTCCATTTTATTATTAAAACTTAATTTAGAACGTGTAAATATTCAATAAACAGTACCGTACAAACTTTGTGGCGAGTTTAATTACAAAAGTACAATTGTACGTTTTGGCGCGCAAACGTTGCGTCCTGTAACGGCGAGTTCGAGTTTAGTAGCGCGGGAGGGCAGCACTTCGCACTTAACTAGCCGAAAAATAGCTCGGCCGGCTATCCCGTTCAACTTAATCGTTAACTTGCTACTTAACTCGCTTATTGCCGTTCAAACCAGGTTCAAACTTAACTCGCCAGGTTCGCAAGTTAACTCGCTACTGTACTTGTCAAAGTGTAAATCGGTCTTAACGAACCTCAACGCGCGCGTTTTTCTGCATTTGAGTTGATTGTAGTCTACAATCTTACTAGTTCAATCAATAATTAATTTGAGCATTCCAGTCATGTCTAGTGTTGTATGGAACTTTTTAAAAAAAGTAGACAAACAAAACGTTTCATGTAATCTGTGTGGAAAAAGATATAAAACCAGTGGCAATACGACGAATTTAGCTACACATCTAAAAAATAAGCATCACCATGCGTTTCTCCAACTTAAAAATAAAAACGCAAGGTCATCAAGTGAAGTGGATGATATTACACCAAGTTCTTCAGAACCTAAACGAATGACAACAAGAACCAGTTCGCCCGTTCCGTCTACTAGTTCATCTATTACTAATGAACCTGCTAAGACAGAAAATAACTTCATGGAATTGTCTGAATCTGCAATTTACGATGATACTGGTGTAAGTATTTTATTTGTGCAAGGCCAAACGTAGCTTTAAACTTTAGAGCCTGTAGAATGTAAATATCATTCGTTAATCTTTTATAACTAATAACTAGTCAACTAATGATGTGTGATTACTAAAAGTATCGATATCGATAAATTTATATTTTAGTGTTTTTACTTAAACTTATGTCGTTATGTATTTATGTCGACAATAGTAATGAAATATGTGCAAAATGTTCAATGAAATTTTTCAGACTGAATCCTCCATAGATGGTGGTCGTCAGAGTAAAGACTTGTGGAAACAAACTACACTCATAGATATGTTTGAAAGAAGTTCAAGCTATGAAGGTATTTTTTTATTGATATCAGATTATTGCATTGATTATATTTTAGTTCTACGAGTAGGTTCTCATTTTATTATATTTTTCAATTTAGCAGGGGGTCAAAAAACTAGCCAAATAAATCAAGCTTTGATCTACATGATCTGCAAAGACAACATGCCTCTATCTTGTGTAGAAAAACCTGGATTGAAAAGATTTATGAGTGTCGTTTGTCGACGCTATAAGGTTCCATCTCGAACTACTGTAAGCAAAGTATACCTAATATTAAATTATTATCTTATCTTTTTTATTTTCAAATGTTATTTTTTTATTCATTCCTTATTACAGATAACTGGCTTCATGGAACAACGATATGCCACTACCAAAGCCATTTTAAAACAAAAATTAAGTGAGAAAAATAATATTGCTTTAACAAGTGACATATTAACTCTTATCAACTTGCAAAAAATTGCTTCATGGAACAACGATATGTCACTACCAAAGCCATTTTAAAACAAAAATTAAGTGAGAAAAATAATATTGCTTTAACAAGTGACATACGAGGGTGGATTGAAAAGTACTCGGCCTAACCAAGAAAATAAACACATACTAAATCAGTTATATTTTTATTTTTCTACATAATCACCATCAAGTTTAATACACTTTTGCCACCTCCCCTTCCAAGCATTTAGACCGTTGAAAAAAAAAATGATTCTTCCTTAGAGTCAAAATATGCGTCTACAGCTGCTTTGACCTCGTTGTTTGTCGAAAATCTTTGACCTCCCAAGTGCTTTTTTAGGTTAGGGAACAGAAAGAAGTCTGATGGTGCCAGATCAGGTGAATACGGCGGATGCGGTAACAGTTCAAAGCCACAGTTTTGAATTTCAGCCATTGACTGTACTGACGTGTGAACACGGGCGTTATCTTGATGAAACAGGACTTTTCTTCTGAGCATTCCTCGACGTTTTTCTTTTATTTCCTCTCGTATAGGACATAGTAAGGTGCAGTAGTAATCAGAGTTTATAGTCTGACCCCTTTCAAGGTAATCAATCATAATCACACCTTTCGAGTCCCAGAATACTGAAGCCATCACCTTATTTGCCGACAAAATCGACTTAGCCTTTTTTAGGGGGTGGTGAACCAGGTCTTCTCCACTGTTTTGATTGTTGTTTTGTTTCCGGTGTACAGTAATGAACCCATGTTTCGTCCATAGTAACAAAACGATTCAAAAAATCATCTGCATCAGCTTCAAATAACTCCAAACAGTCGCGTTAAATAGTCAATCGCGTCCTTTTTTGTTCAACTGAAAGCAGTCGCGGAACCCACCTCGCAGACACCTTGTGGAAACCCAACTCGTTGACAATGATGTTTTGAGTTCGTTCATAAGAGATGCCTATAATCTCGGCTATCTCTCTAATTTTTAATCTGCGGTCTCCCATTATTAAATCAAGTACTTTTTTAATATTTTCGTCAGTAGTTGACGTCGAAGGCCTTCCAGAGCGGGGTTCATCTTTCACACTCTCTCTACCACGCTTAAATTCTGCTATCCATTTTTTGACGGATGAATATGACAGAGCACAATCGCCTAATGTACTGACCATGTCATCATGGATGGCTTTTGATGATCGCCCCTTCTTATGGAGGTACTTAATGACGGCACGCTGCTCGATTTGCTCCATTTGCGGAAATTATGTCCGATTACTTTGTTAATAAATTTATAAAATCACAACTAATTATCGCACACGTTTCGAACTTCACACAATGAACTAGTCTGAACTGAACTAAATAATGTGGGTAGATTTGATTTTTAGAATTGAATGGATCTGTGTTAGGCCGAGTACTTTTCAATCCACCCTCGTATTAACTCTTACCAACTCGACACGAAGTTTCATCGTAGTGACAGCGCATTTACTTAACACTGCAGATAACTGCACTCCTGAGCATGAGATGGTGACATTGACAGCACGGAGAATGTATCAGGTAAGAAAAGTATAAAATAAATGCATCAAATTATAAAAAATAAAATAAATAGTAAGTTATAATAAATTTAATGAAGTGGACTAATATTGGTCTTCTTTCCTGCAGGCACACACAGCTGATTATATAAAAGAATGCTTTGAAAATATTACCGAAGAGTTCACAATAGAAAAGGATTGCATTTTATCAATCACCACTGACGGTGGTGCTAACATGGTTGCTGCAGTGAAACAATATTTGGGAGATGGAAAAAGAATTCCTTGCATGGCGCATTTGCTGAATTTAATAGTGGATGGGGCAACAAGAGATAATGGACCAGTTCTACAAATTGCCAATCGTGTCAAAGCCATCGTAACATATTTTAAACAATCTGTAAACGCAATGGAAGATTTACGAGCAGAGCAAGAGGGAACAAAGAAAGAGGGAGAAGTGTTACCACTTATACAATCAGTAAGCACAAGGTGGAATTCTTGTCTTGACATGTTGGGAAGATTTAATACATTATCAGCTATTGTGGCTAAGATTTTGGCAACCAGGCGAAATGCACCTGATATGATAACTTCTTCAGAGTTAAGTGTCATACGAGATCTTATAATGTTGCTTACCCCATTTAAGCAAGCTACTGAAGAAATTAGCGGCGATCAGTACGTAACTTCTAGTTTAGCGATTCCTATTGCAAACTTACTTCAGAAAGGACTTGAACAAATGAAACCTTCCACCGAATTTGGTGTTGTTGTTCAGAAAAGTTTGCTAAACTTAGTTATTGCCAAACTAGAACCACTAGAGCGACATTTACATCTTGCTAAAGCAACAATTTTAGACCCTCGCTTTAAGCGTATTCATTTTAATTCCGCTCTGGCTGTTTCCAAGAAGAAGCTTAGAAATACGTTTAGAACATAGACGTAGAGGACAATTATCGCCTGAACTCAGATGCAGATCTACTACCACAATACCAAACTCAGAAAATTCTTCGCCGTCGTTGTGGTCTGGACATGAAAAATTTTTGGTAGATATTACAGCAGCTTCAACAAACTCCAGTTCACTTTCAACCAGTGATGGAATGGCTAGCGAACTAAAGCAATACCTAGATCAGCCAAGTATAATACCCAGAAAGGAGAATCCAACAAAATTTTGGTTTGATTGTCGCCATTTTACCCCAGTTCTTTCCGATATAGCTGTAAAGTATTTGATATCGACTGCGTCGTCGGTTTCCTCAGAGAGAGTGGCATCTGATGTAAATCTACCAACCCAAATACCCAATAACAGAAGTCTGCTTACAGCCGAGCACATAAATCAAAGAGTTTTTCTAATGTCTGTATCAGACAGATATTGGTTTAGTTAATAAATAATTAATATTTTTTATCGTTGTTCTTGATTTATTAAAAATGTTTTCTATTGATTAGTGTTTATCTAGTAATGTACCAAAAAAAAAATAAGATGACTGAAGTAGGTTAGACCTTTTTTCATATCGTACCGATAATATCGATATTGATAATTTCCATCGATACTTTATTCCATTTCCGACATCCCTAATTGCATACGTATGTATGTAGTTACTCTAAGGACAAACAAATAAGAATACTAACGTAATTCTAAGTAAAGAAGAGTAATAAATACGCATACTTGTGTGCGTAATGCGCACACAAGCGCTTCAAATCTGGCCTGTGGTTTTGTTGCTATTGCAACGCCACACTCTATCTAGACAAGTATATAATCAAATATTATTATGTAGTAATTTCAAAGTATTTTAACACTGTTTACGAAAATAGTTTTTTTTTTCGTAAATACCTGTTTCAATAGTTTTTATTTATTGTTTAGTAGGTACATATATTCTCATTTTAAAGCATATAATTAAAAAATAGTTGCTAGACTTTTAGTTCCACCTGTTGATTTTGTCACTGACTAGCTGTGCCTCGCGCTTTCATCCGCGTATATCATGCGTCTGAGCTGCCCGCCATGACATGACGCTTATTTAGTTAAATCATTTTAGCTAAACAAGTAGCAAAATTAATGAAGTACTTTTATCTATCGGCTTATGTAAGTTATAGAGTAAAGTTTTCATCCATTCTCCACTCTCCCTCTTCCTCTCGGGTGAGCGTCATCCCCCGAAAAATACATTACACCTCTTTTTAAAGAGCATATTCTATTCTCTATTTGAGTTATATTAACAGTGAAGTTGGGAATTTTTGATAAAAATCAATATCAGGCAAAAAGAAAAGATAAATGATAAAAAAATTTCATATTTCGTGGCAGATTGCGCGGAAACTATAGGTGACATCACTTTTGTAGGTATAGGTAAGAGATATTTAATTTCAATCAACACACTCTTCTTGTATCGTCCATGGTTTTCTTTAAAGTGTCAATAATGAATGATTCGTTCGTTTGAGCTGGTATACTTAAACGTACTGATGGTTCATTCATCTGTTTTTGAATGTTCCGTACAACCAATCACAAACAATTGACAGCACCTTTTTAACTAGTGATTGGTGTGAATTGTGAATGAGTCGAAAACCGTCCGAATCCCGAATGATCTGAATTAATTGTTTTTAGAGTTGGGTACATAATGCCGTGCATGCATTCGAATTCATATTAATTTTCAAACAGATTTATATTAATTTTTTTGTGTTTATGCCATCTAGCGTCTACTATTGTACTTACCACCTTGAAAGTCAATAAATTTTTGTTCGATAAAATGACTTTATTACCTATAACATGTAGTAGATGGCGCTATTACAAAGTCAAATAGAAAATTTTTGGTTTCCAATGGATCTCACAAATTTACAGAGTAATGGAACCCGAAATGATTCATTTGAATGATGAATCCGAATGTACCGGTACGCGTGACGAAATATACTAGATGATTCGGTAACGGGAAATAAATGATTGACACATGTCTACTTTGAAGGTGGAAAAAACGCGCTTCGAGATATTTTCAGAGGCGCGTGAGGGTGACGTTCACCCGGGAGGGGGGAGAGAGGACAACATTTAATTTCGCTCTATAACGTATATATGCCGATAGATAAAAGTTTATTCTTGATTTTCAAATAAACTTGCATGGATAGCGTTTATGGCGTTTACGTGCCAAGCCGAGCGTTGAGTTATTTTAATTTTTCATGATCTCTTAAACGATCTACGCGTCTAAATACCATGAATGCTATAAAGAGCAAAGCTTATCCAAAGAGTTTATCTTCATAAAATTGTCTTGATAATGAAGTATCTTTCGTTCGTAAGAATTAATATGCCATGCCTAATAATAACGCTCATAAACCACTTTTTAATTTTTCATTTTCAATCAAAAACAAAAAATACCACAAAATAAATGTAGCTTCTATGTATAAGAAGTAGACATACGGTATCGCGGACTTTTTTTGGAGTAAAGATGTATAGTTTTGTAGAACATTTCTATTTACGTATCAGTAGCCATTACGCGGATAAATAATTTCGGGAGCGCTTTTTCCTCTAACTTGCTTAACAAAAATCAATATTTAAGGCTATATGGGAAGCGTAGCCTAATGCTTGGTAGTCTATACTATTTTTTCTCATGAATCTGGCTATAATATATAAAAATAATTTTTTAAATCGGACTGGTAGTTCTAGAGATTAGAGTGCTTAAACAAACAAAAGAAACTCTATTGCTTTATAGATGTAAAGAAAAATTACAAAATACATCTATTATCAATTTTGAAAACATAATGACGAAAAAAAGACAGCAAATAATTTACTGTAATTATTAACGAATATGAATTTTATCACTACGTGTCTATGTATTCCCTCCCAGCTTTTACATGAATTATACTTTAGATTTAAAAAAAAATCGAGTCTTAAATTTCAAAACTGTTATGTTAGTTAGTTATGAGATAGTGAAATACATTATATTACAGTAAAACAGTTGGAAACTAAAGAAATAATTAAAAGTTATATTTACGATATTTATTTAGTCCTTGTTGACAGCTCTATATCGTATCTCTGTATGTATCGTAACCATGGAATGTCGTCCGTGGCGTAGGAAGGGAAAAGATGCAAAGCAATACCAGTGCTGCCAAGTCTAGATCGCCTCCAGTCGTCAAAAATTTGACGCTAAGTATTTATTATATATATTATAATTCGCCTAATTTTGTTTTCTTTAATGTAGCCTATAATCGCCCACTGAAGTGTCGAGAAGCCTATAAGGGCTATTTTTAAACGTAGACCTATCTCAATCAACATTTTCATAATTTTAACAACATAAAATTAGAAGCAGTTTATCGTAAACGTAAAAGAAAAGATTTATATATATATATATATATATATATATATATATATATATATATATATATATATATATATATATATATATATATATATATATATATATATTATATTGTCTGCTCACTCATAAACACGCTTTCAAAGTATTCCTTCCATCTCTTTAAACTCAAAACTTCATCTTTCAGGATATAGCCATTCTCGTCTCTTATAGCATCATCATAGGCTGTTTTGAATGTCCCCTGGCAGTTCTTACAAGTTTCCAGAACATTTTAATATTTGCCTGGAAATTATCCGATATTCTTCTATCATTCTTATCCGTTCTTTCTTGCTTTTTTCTTTCAACTACTTCTTTTACTCTCTTATTAAGATGTCTAAAGACTGCCTTTTTTGTTTCAATATCGTCACTCGTACCGCTAGAATTACCAGCCTTTGTTGCTAGTAAATCTAGCCATGCTCTCTTCTTTGCTTCAACTTCCATACGTACCTCATCATCCCACCATAACGTATTATTTTTCCTTTCATTCTTTCTCTTACTAACACCACATACTTCGGTAGCTGCATCCACTAAACCTTTCTTTACATTTTGCCATACATTCTCCAAGTCTAACTCCTTCATACATAATTCATCCAAACCACTTATATTTTCTTTCAGTATACATTTGAACTTGTTTTTCTCACCTTCATCTTGTAACCTTTCTGTTCTAATACGCTGTAACGCAGTGGTAGAAACAGATGATCGATGGCGCCAACGCCTGAATAGACCATTAATTCGGCATAAAACCAAATAATGATCCGTTCCTACGTTAGAACCCCGGTAAACCCTTGTATCCACCACTGCGCCCCTCAATCTTTCATCCACAATTATTAAATCTATCATACTTCTATCGTCACCTCTTTCCCAAGTATACATGTGAATCCTCTTGTGGCGAAAGCAAGTGTTCGTCACAAAAAGATTCTTTTCCATACATACGGTGAGGAGACTTTCACCATTCTCATTTATATTTTCATCACCAAACGTTCCCAATATCCTTTCATAACCAAGCCTCCTCACCCCAACCCTTCCATTAAAATCTCCTAGCATAATAATATTTTCATTTCCCTTACACTTCATTAACACCATCCTTACCATTTCCCAAAACTGCTCTCGGATGTGGGCTTAGACATGTCTGGGGCGTAGATCCCTAACACAAACAACTTCTTTAAGCCCTCTTTCATGCGTATCTATAGCAGTCTTGGGCTTACACATTCATACTCTTTCACACATTGGCCCATTCTTTCTGAAAGGATGATACCTACTCCCTGGCATGCCCGCTCGATCTCGTCTACACCAGACCAGTATGCGGTATACATGCCATGTGTAGTGACACCCTTCCCCTTCCTTTTCGTCTCATTTACACATAACACATCTATTCCTCTATCATACATCATATCGCATACTTCATCCATTTTATCATTCATTGCCCCACATACATTCAACGTAGCCAAACGGGCCTCTGCAATCCACTTTTCGCCTCTCTGGGAGACAGAACGTGACGGGTGGCGAACCTCGTCGCCGGTTTTCTTCCCGGAGATTCTTCGCACCCCTGCCCCATTAAAAGGGCGCCGGGAACTCGGGGCCATTTCTTTTATATGGTTCCTCATGGTGCGGATAA